TTCCCTATCACCTTACCACCTTCCAAGTGTTTGCAAATGATTACCTTAATTGCTTGCTCCATTATCTTCCCTGGCTCAGAAGTTAAACTATTATTACTTTCTCTGGAGTCTGGACCTTGACTATACCCTGACCAAGAAATTTGGACCCTGTCAGAAAATAATTGACTACCCCTGACCTAGGCCTTCATCCTGCAAATGACTCCATGTGGGCACACACCTGCACTGAGACCCAGTGAAGCTAGTGGGGTAATGCCTGGGTTTGCCCCCGTCAAGTCAAATGCAGGTTTGAGAACTTAGCAAACCTTTTTGCTCCTGAGACACAAGGAGGAACAGACTTCAGCTCGCAGTTGTGTCGCCTCTGTGGGGCTGGCAAGCATCAAGAGCCATCAACTTTTTTTTTTCCCCCCCCCCACAACTGGCACCAGATAAGACACTGGCAGGGATAGGGAGCAGCTAGGCAAAACAGGAAGAAGCCATTGTCACCCTCCCTTCTAATGGACGCAGCCCGGCTGTCCCTGTAATTGCAGTGGGAGCTGGCCCTACCCGTCACTTTGATTCAGACTGAAAACAACTTCTCCTGGCTGAGAAAAGGCGTTTTAAAACAAACAATTCCAGGAAGACCCCATCCACCCACTCCCCTGAGAAACGGGGCCGGGGCGGGCTCGGCCTGTGGCTTCCCAGTCTCACCCCCCGGGACCCAGCGTCAGCATTTCCAGTTCTCTCGCACTGCCCGCCCCGGTGAAGCCCGGACCCCGGGGCAAAGCCCCCTTTGCGCAGCGCTGCCGCGGGTCGGGGCCCCGGGGTGCCCGGGTCTGCGGGGAGGTTCGCGCGCGGTCCCGGCGGCGCGGCGGGAGGGACGGAGGAGGGAGCCGCCCTTACCCAGCAGGGCGCTCAGCAGCAGCCCGAGCGCGGAGAGGCGGCAGGCGAGGCCCATGTCGGCTCGCGGGGCCGGACCGGGCTGCGCTGGCCCGGGGGGCGCGGCGGGCTCGCTCCACTCTGCTCCGGGGCCGCCGCGCTGCACAAACCCAGATGGCGCCGCTCAAGCGAGGTGCAGCCAGCGCCGCCCCGCGCCCCTCAGAACGAAACTGAAACTAGACAGCGATGCGCCGCCACAGACGGGCTCCGCTCATGGTCCAGTCCAGTTTTCCCCCAGGAATTGAAATGGGGGGGGCGGGGTGTTTGAATTTACAAGTGGGGGTGTCAGGGCCAATGAGGGGTAAGACCGTCAGGGTGAAGGTGGGCTGTATGGCACCATAGTAAACACTGAAAACTCGTTCATGACCATTTTATTAGATTTAACTCATGTTTTAAAATCATACAAATTAAAGTTGGCTACTCAAGCATTCTATAAAGTACGACATCTACATCCTTCTTGGTTCCTTTTTATAATTTTGCACAACTCTGTTAATGAACTTCTTGAATGCAGCACGTTCATCTTTGGTAGGGTTACCATATTTCCACAATCAAAAAAGAGGAGGGGGGGAAGCCCTGCCTTAGCCCCGCCCCATCCACGCCCTCCCACTTCCCACCCCCTGACTGCCCCCCTCAGAATCCCAACCCCCCCTGCTTCTTGTCCCCTCACTGCCCCCTGCTGAGAACCCCCCACCCTAACAGCCCCCCCTAGGACCCTATCTGTCCCTTGACTGCTCCAACCCTTATCCACTTGCATGGGTGGTAGGGTTATAGAAATTTTGGTGGTGCCCAGAACCCACCACCACCACCACCACCTGCCTAAGGCTCTGGGAGGGCAGTTGGGTGGGTGGAGGAGGTCTGGGGTGCAGGTCCTGGGCTGGGGATTAGGGTGCAGGAGGGGTGCAGGCTCTGGGATAGAGTTTGGGTGCTGAGTGCAGGCTCCGGGCTGGAGCAGGAGGTGGGTGTGCAGGAGAGGGTGAGGGGTGCAGGCTCTGGGATGGAGTTTGGGGGTGGGAGGCGGTGCAAAGGGGGGGTGCAGGCTTTGGGAGGGAGTTTGAGGGCAGGAAGGGGTGTGTGGGAAGGGGGGAGGGGGTTTGGGAGGGAGTTTGGGGATAGGAGGGGATGCAGGGGTGAGGGCTGTGGGTCTGAGGATAAGGGGTTCATGATGCAGGAGGAGGCTCAGGGCTGGAGCAGAGGATTAGGGTGCGGGGGGATGAGGGCTGGGGCTGAGGGGTTTGGGACATTGGAGAGGCTCAGGGCTAGGGTGGAAGGGCAGGGTAAGGGCAGCCTGTCTTCCCATTAGTGGATGGGGGACGCTAGGACCCGGGGGCAGCAGACAGCAGTTGCTGCTGGCTCTGGCAGTACAAGCAGGCAAGGGAGAGGCAGGCAGGAAGGCAGGTTCCACGGCGGGGGATGCACAGAGGGGTGGCAGGTGGAGGCTGGGGACCCATCCAACACTCCCCCGCTCCCTGACTGCCCCCCCCCCAGACTCCCCTTACCATTCTGGCTCCACGTGTAGGCAAAACACGCTGCCCAGTGGGTCGGTTTGTGTGTTACACAGGGCTGCAGACAGAGGGAGGGGAGGGCTCTAGCTGCTGGAGGCCAATGGGAGCGGCTCAATCGGCCCAGCCGCCCAATCAGCAGCTGCACTCTGCATGGAAGGGAGGGAGGGAGCCGAGGGAGAAAAAGAAACCAGACATTTTAACCTTGTTACCAATTCCTCCCAGACGGCTATTTAGAGACGCAAAAGCCGGACATGTCTGGGGAAATACGGATGGATGGTAACCCTAATCTTTGGTGGCTTCTCGTGTGTCCGGTACTTCCATTCTTTCCGTTGATATGCTCATTAGTTCATTCACATGATTAGGGAGAAGGCAACTTCTTTCAGAAAGATAGTGAGCATTTGCTGGTCTTGTTCAGAACTAATGTTCAACTTCAGGATGAACAAGTGCCAATGCACTTAACATTGGCCTCTAACTTGCTTAAAGTATGATGCCACAGCCATGTTTGTTTGCATAAACTGTGTTGTGTCTCCAGCATTCTTAACAGCCTCATTAACATGCACCGGTCCTTGGTCAGTGGAGACTCAGAGTTCAGAACTGCTTTCACATGAGTTCACCTCCCAGGTGGGCGCAAGAAGGCACCTTGCTTGTTCCTTCAGCTGCTCACTGTTCACTCTGGCCACTCTTGTTCATTGTGCTACCGTTCACTCCATCGCTCTGTTGCCAATGGCCCTGCACCGTCACCTTCTGCTGCCACTGTGACCTCTGCGAGTTGCTCTCTGAGGTTCCACCCAGCTCTGAGTGATTTCAGCTGAGCTCTCAGTAGGAGAACCTCACTGCTAGTGCAGACTGGACTGTTTCTTCCACAGATACACTGTCCCACAGCAGGTCTAAGCACTTAGACCTGATTATCAGTGATTTCAGCTGTAGTGATCACTTAACAAAACACAAGACTATCTATGGAGCCTAATCAGCTCTGTCTTTAAACAGGGGAGAGGGGCAGGTCAAATAGTACCTGTGACTCAGGCAGACTATCAAGCAAAACACCTGTCCCCACCCTCTCTCTTGATGCCCTCAATCAGCACAGGCTAAGTACAGTTCTACTGCCCTTTACTCATACAATAAGAATAACATTTCATTGCCCCCCCCCCGCCCTGCATTCAAGTGATTTGTAACCCATCCCCAGCCAAAATCACTTGGGCAACACTGCTCTGTTTATGGATACCTAGGTAGATTAGGTGTGACTGTAAATACAATCTGGTCCTGAAGCCTTTCCCCCAGCCCCCAGCTCATCACTAGCTGTCAGGGAGAGCTCATTTAGACTTTGCTTACAAATCATAATTTGAAATTATTAGGTTGGCCAATGTCACCGAAATGACTGCACTGACATTGTCATAAAAAATAACAGCTGTATAAGGAAGCTAGTCTATGTTCATACTTTTCAAATCTATTATACTTTTTCAGATATATGTAAATAAAATATATAGAGATATACCTAATCTCATAGAGCTGGAAGGGACCCTGAAAGGTCATCAAGTCCAGTGCCCTGCTTTCACTAGCTGGACCAAGTACTGATTCTGCCCTGATCCCTAAGTGTCCCCCTCAAGGATTGAGCTCATAACCCTAGGTTTAGCAGGCTAATGCTCAAATCACTGAGCTATCCCTCCCCCCAATGTAGTTTATACAATTTATAATAAAATGTATTTTATTATACACTTTATATGCTTTTAAAGTGTGTATTAATCTTTCAATTTCAATTCAAATTTCCAAACAATCACTAAATTGGCAACACTGCATGTAACTAGTTCACAAAACTGCAGGGGGTGGGGGTGTTGGGGAAATTCGGGGGGGTATAGGGAAATCCCTGGTCTGGCCCCTACTCCATTGCAGCGTCCCTGTCACCACCTCAAACCCAGTGCCAGGCTCCCCATCACACCCCAGCACCCCTCTGCTCTGCCAGCCATCTCCCAAGACAGTCCCAACCCCCTCTCTCCAACCCCCACCCCTCTCTTCCCCCATCACCCTCATCACCCCACCTTTTTCCTGGTCCCAGACCTCCCTCCATTCCTCTGCCTCTCTCATAGCCCCCCATCTCCATCAACCCTCTACCATCCTGGCTCCATCCTTGTAGCCCTATTCCCAGTGGCGGATTAACCCAGGGCCCCTGCAGGAGCACTGGCACCTGCGTAGAGCTGGGGGGACCCTGCTCCTCCTCCCCCTCCCCCAGGCCCTGCCCGTGGCCACGCTGGAGCTGGGTAGGGTTGCCAGGTGTCTGGTTTCTGACTGGAACACACGGTCGAAAAGGGACCTTGGCGGCTCCGGTCAGCACTGCTGACCAGGCCGTTAAAAGTCCTGTTGGTGGTGGTAGTTCAGTGGGGCTGGCAGGCTCCCTGCCTGGCTCTGCGTGGCTCCCAGGAAGCAGCCAGCATATCCCTCTGGCTCAGGGGCCGCCATGGGGGCTCCACGCGCTGCCCCTGCCCCAAGAACTGGCTCCGCAGCTCCCATTGGCTGGCAAGTTCCTGACCAATTTTGATATAGACTTTAATAAGATGTACGGGATATGACAAACAACATACTGTACTAGAGCATATAATCAGGTTCTACAGGGGCTACTTTCTAATTCAATGCATGTAAAGTGCAATGAGCATATTGTAAGTCTGGCAACAATCAGTGGTGCATTCATTTTTCTAAAGTCGAGAAATTCACTGCAGCAATGAAAAAAATGTTTAAACACTGCACAGCTCACAAACTGTGTTCCAGACTTTCTTTGCAGAAAAAAAACAGCTTAATCCTCCTGACCAAGTGCCTCTGTTTCCAGAACTAGTCGTGACACAATGGAATTTGTGCTTTGAAGCAGTTCTTTACTGGGCTAAGCATGTAAGTGACTACGGCGAGTTTATTGAAAGTGAAATGGCGATTTCACCTGATACTCAAATAATGGACAGCCTGATCTCGCCTTTAAACGCCGTGAACTTGCTACAGTTCATTTCGGAATGCCAAACCATTGATGAAAACCATCAAATCTTTTGAGATGCGTTCTGTTTCTGTCCATCTGTAATGGATTTGACACACTGGGCAGACTCCAATGCAAAAGAAAAGCACAGCGAAGATGCAGAGCAGAATGTGTTTTTACAAGAAGTGTTCAAGAAAACAGCAGACAAACTGAAAGAACACTACTGCAACACTGAGGAAAGTGTTGCTAGACCTGCTCAACGAGGATCAAGGTTCATGCAGCCTGGACTGTCATATATTAAAGCAGTTCAGGTATCTGATGTGAAACAAATGAACATGTTATCAGAGCAGGCACTCCCTCTGGAGGCAATCCCTATGTTTGGCCTGAAGCTACAGTACAGCTTGCCCCATACACATTTTTTGCAAGTGAATGTGAATGAAATGATCTTGTTTTGGGATTCAGACCTAAAGTTCTACAGCATTTTCCAGAGTTAGCAGGGACAGCAAAGTGATCACTATCAATCTTGCCTAATTCTGTGGATGCCGAGCATGCAGTATCTCGGTACAGACAAGTCTTCACAATGCAAAGACAGGGCATGAAGGAGACCCCTGTAGCAGGGTGTACTGCACTAATATTCAATTCAATGCCTGTAACATGTAAAAGGCTAAAGTGACTGGACTCATTTCTACAGCAGTTGTGTTAAAACTTTTAGTCTTCTGAATTGTATATTGTACCAGTTACTTTTTTTTAAAATAAACATAATATAGTTGCAGA